TATGCATGAGATTCAGTTGTCTTGACAAAATCCTGCTATATTTGTGTAACGTAGCCAGCATGGAGGTGGACTTGGAGCAAGCCAACATTGTAGAAGGAGAGCTGTGTTAGTCTTTGGCAGTTTTACACACCCTTGGCAACTTAAAAAAAACATCTTAAAGCTGCCAAGGTTGAGAGACACTGCATTAGATTGATATACCACCTTAGCTCTAGGAGTTGGAGGGATAAATAGCATTCCTTCTAATTTTTACCTTTAACAACAATCCAATGACATAGATTATTCTCAGAGAAAGTGATTGGCCTCAAATCACCTAAAATTAGAAGGAGTCTGGTAGCACCTTTTCTGATTAACATTTTTATTAAAAAGCATATGCCATACAGTATTCCTTCTGATTTTTGGTTACCAACGACCAGTGTGTCTCAACCTTGGCAGCTTTAAGATGTTATCTTAAAGTTGCCAAGGTTGAGAAACACTGCCAAAGACTAACACAGCTCTCCTTCTACAATGTTGGCTTGCTCCAAGTCCACCTCCATGCTGGCTACGTTACACAAATATAGCAGGATTTTGTCAAGACAACTGAATCTCATGCATACAATGGAAGGATTAAGCCCATTGTCCACCAGAGGTTCAGAAGGAAGAAAAACTGAGTAGCAAATCATACAGGGCAGCAATGTATGGGGAAAACCTTCACTTATTTGATCCATTTTTTACTGTGAGTGGCACATGTTTTTCTCTCTTGGAACCCCTAGTTGAGCATCTTAGGTCAACTGCCATCCCTGGAATTCCCATCACCAACCTCAAGAAAACACACTGTGCCTGGCTGATATTTTGGATCGATTTTAGACAAAGAATTTTGACAAAGTTGATATATGCGTGTGTGCATAGGGGTCAAATTCACTTCTTAGGCCCATCAGAACAAGGGATCGAGTGTCAGATCTTCTGAACAAGAATGTTTAATGCCTGCCCAAAAACGTACTTGGCAGAAAACATGTGTTGGCAGGGATAATGTTAATTAAAAAGGAGCTGCTTTGCCTGTAAAAACAGAAGCTCTCTGGCCTTTTGGAGACTGCAAGGCCATTGCTAACATTCCTTGCAGGTGATGTCTCGACCCTGGGCAGCGGGGTGGCGGAGCTGTGCGTTCACTGCCGAGGCAAGCAGAGAATTCTCCTGCCTTGAAAAATGTAGTTGGCTTCACAGAGAAAAATCTAGATGGCATTTCAGACCTCAAGAGCCAGTTTGATGTAGAGATTAAGGCATCAGGCTAGAAACTGGGAGACCATGAGAGTTCTAGTCCTGCCTTAGACATAAAGCCAGCTGGGTGACCTTGGGCCAGTCACTCTCTCTCAGCCCTAGGAAGGAGGCCAGGGCAAACCACTTCT